CTTACCGTTTGCTGCACAGGAGACAGAGACTGTGGGTCTACAAAGGTGAACATCTTGACAATGAAGCGCTTGTGGTGGTTGGGGAAATGAACACCAGATGATGCGGTCACTGGAACCAGTGTGGTCAGGTAGCGGTCATCCTGGTTGGGGCATCTAGAAAGCACCATAGGAGTCAGGACTAGCATCACTAACTGAGCTTCTGCTTAGGACTGCACTCACCCATTAACCAGCAGATCCCACCGGGGCACACTGAGTGGATTGGGGGTTGATGTAGCCCAGCAGTTACCCAGCATCAGGACAATGTTGGGGTCAGTCCTCTCCAGAATGTGCACATCAACATACACAGGCTCCCGGAGGACTTTGGTGACTGGGTAGTCAGCTTCATTATAGTAGGATGTGTACGCCTCGTCCCCTGTGGAACACAACATGTTCATCCAGAAACTAATAGGAAGACTTCAGGCAGACTCTGGTCCAGTGTTTACCTTCAGCACAGCCTTTGGTGACACATTGGCCATTAGCCAGTCTAAGCTCCACTCTGAGGGGTCCAAGAGCAGCGACTGGTGGAGGTGCACGAATAGCATTGACCTCCACAACCAGAGCTTCCACAGCTGTATTAGAGTACCGGCACTGGAACAGAACCCTGGACAACAGATAGGGAGCCTGTAGCATTTATTAGACACACACATGCAGTAGAAGAGCAGAGATCACCTACTCAAACTGGCTGTCTCTTGTGATGGAGCCGAGCGGTCCCATGGCCACTTCATAGGAGGACACCATTCTGTTTTCATATACCACATGTCCACGTTCCTCCTGCAAACAGGAAGACCATTCACATCCAGTCCATGTAGAAGTGCATTCAGAAGCAGCTCAATACTCACGATCACGTTGGTTCCACAAGCACTGACAGGAAACTGGTATACAGCAAAGTAAGGGTTGGACGCCACAGGACTGCAAGGGGGATCATTCCCACCCAGAAGACTGACCGTATCCAGACTCAGCCGAGGCACTGTAACATCTCTAGCCACCACTACCACAAACTGACCATCTCTTATACACTGGACAGTGACTGAAACAAGGTACAAGCAGATTAACACAAGGCATCAGCTAAACAGAGCTCCTTTACCCACAGCAGCTCTTACCTGCATTTCCATAGTAGCACTGTTGTCCATTAAAGCAGCAGTTGATGGCTTCACAGTCAGGTCCACTGATACCAGGAGGTCCACACTGAATCTGGCCCAAATCAGCTACACTACACTTGTCAACAGGCCCTGCTTTCACCACTACCTCTTCAACCCGCACAGGAAGTGGTTGGCTGACCTGTGGCTGAACGATCTCCTTAATAAGATAATCACTTTGCTGCAACGTCAAACCATGAGGATGATGAGGGCGATGGGGATGATGAGGATGACGTCCATGTTTCCAATGTGGAGAAGCAGAACAAAAAGCACCAAACCAGGCACAAAGTCCCAGAAACTGAAGCAAAGACCAGCTAGTTGCCATTGTTCACCAGCTAGATGCACTGCTGAGATGTTGCCCTTTGGCCTTTTTGTACTCTACAGAGGTCAATTAGCTTAACGATGATCCCGCCCTCTTCATTAGGAGTCATGATTCTCCAGACTTGCACTAGTGGGAGCTTATGCTCTGCCGGATTCTTATTGGTTCTCAATGTTCTAAGCATGTGGCATTTCCTGAATCCAATTAGTCAGATACTTCATGTTTTTGACTAATGCAATGTTTTGTTGCTCACTTGTTGAATCTGTTCCATTTTGCACTGAGATCTCCATACATAGACTCTGCAGGACACCGGCCCTCCAGGACTGAGTTTGGACATGCCTGCTCTAAACCAAATGAAGCTAGCATATTATGGTGATTATTTCAGCTGAAAATGATCAGTTATTGTCATGTTTTAGGCTGTAATAATCAGAGTATTTTAGACTGCAAAATGGACATCATATCATGCAGAAAAGACATTAAACACTGAGGAACAAAAGGCAAACCTGAAGCAGGTTTTCCAGAGCAAGACTACTGACAACTTTCATGTGTGTTCTTATCATTTACACTCAATACGTGGAAATATTAGACTAATATCCTCATGAATGCTGCTCAGACATGTGTTTTACCAGCTATTAAATTTAGTTAGCAGGAACTGGTGTGATATTTTGACAAAGTCACTTTCTGTTTGATTGAGCAGCTTCCTTATGCTTTCTCCATGCGTAAACAGTCAGATTATGGTCAATAAAGAGTGCAGTCCATGCTGTTGTTTATATTTGAGTATCAGCACCATGGCCTAACACACAGAGAACTGACCACATCCTGACCAATACAAACCTTCTAGTAGACACAACAGATTTGAAACACTCTTGACCTCTCGGTTGTGCCTCTGGGAGTCTGTTTGCATACATATACACTTGGTGATCTGATGCAGTGCACTGTCAGTATTCCACCAGCAGAGGACATCAGAGTCAGTAAAGAAGCCTTTTGTTTTAGTCTATTTGCCCTTATTATTCTTTAACACCTTAACCTAAAAGTGGTTTGAGAAAAGAGTGTGCAGTCAGAATTAATAATGCCTGGACCAGTCTTGGTGATCGTTTAGTCTCACACTGGGGGAATGAGTGGTGCTGAGAAATAGTCAAGAACTTACAATTTAGAACAAGAGTTTGATTTGAAGCTACGTCTATATCACGCATGCAACAACAAGCCAACCCAAAATAATTCACCATAACATTCAGTGTTAGCTTGTTTCCCTGGAACAATCAAATCAATTTCCCCGCTCATGCTGCACAAGCTGAATCTCATGATGGGTTCACACCAATACAAGAGAAAAATGAAGTACTGCCACAAGTAGATTACATACAAAGTCAACGCAAACTGCACGCTTGTCGAAATCATGCAGAACTGTCTACTGTGACAGTTTAGATAATTATACCAGAGCAATTATGAAGCATTAGGTGAAAATATCCCGTTAATAAACTGTGGAGAGTGATGCAGCGCTTCTTAGGTGTGAACCCAGCATTAGAAAGGAAATAAGGTGGGACTGCATATACAGTCATTTTGCATTCTTGCGGCCTGCAGGAACTCTTTCATGACAACACATTGATTGGGGATCCATGACTTAAAGGGTTAGTTCACTCAGAAATGAACATCTGTCATCAATTAGTCTCTCTCATGTCATTCCAATCCCTCGAGAGCTTCGTCAGAGGTGGGTGGAGTATACAAAATCTACACTCCAGTAAAAGTAACATCTTAAAAGTTACTTGAGTAAGCGTAAAAAAATCTGATTAAAAAATTACTCAATTAAATAGTTAGTTACTTTTCATTATATATACACGTACACAATTGAGGTCAAAATTATTCGCCCTTCTGTGATTTTTTTTCTTTCAAATATTTCCCAAATTATTATTATTATTATTATTATTATTATTATTATTGTTGTTTAATAGTGCAAGGAATTTTTCACATTATTTCCTATAATATTCTTTTTTTTAGTTAGTCTTACTCGTTTTATGAGCTAAAATAAAAGCAGTGTTTAATGTTTTTTTTAACTTGTTTTAAAGTATTAGCCCTCTTTAGCAATATATATATATATATATATGTATTTTTTTTGTTTTGTTTTTTGATCGTTTACAAAACAAACCATTGTTTTGCACCCTAACTTTTCTAATACAGTATAGGCCGAAGCATGCTAATAGGACTTTTAATTTGTCAGTAACCTGGGTTAAGCACTTCCGGTGAACTGTATGCCATTGCAAAATCTCCATGTTTAAGGTCGGTTTTCATTAAAAATCAGCAATCTCCACTGGCTGAGTGATATTCGATATAAAGTAGGGCTCAGATTGTGCAAGAAGCACTGCATTAAATTACATTTCCCCCCGCCATGTCTTTATAATATAGCATTTATTTTACCCCAGAATATTCAATTGAGCTTCTGCGTTAGCCTGCCGATTCTGACGGGCGTGTGCGAGTAAACGGATTTTTGTCTCATGTTACGCTTGAGCAACTACATGAATGCCAAAATCTATTTAACTGATTGTATTTTAATAACATTACAACATCGATGCTGTAAAATGAACTGTATAAAATGGAAAAAAACTCACAATGACGGGTCACCAGAAGTTTATCAGTATGGGAACAACACTAGCTTGGCATATACCCTATTTACCTAGTTAAGCCATTAAATGACACTTTAAACTGAGTACTAGTATCTTGAAAATATCTAGTCAAATATTATGTGCTGTCATGAGTCTTAAAAATAATAACAGTGTGAATGACGAATATTTGCAGGGCTAATGAGTTATTTCATTAAACAGCACATCCTTTAGTTAAATCAAAATTGGGATATTTTGCACACTCACCACTACGTGTTTTTTCAGGTATGAGCTGGAATTCATGTAACATTATATGTTGCGTTGTCAGTTCGATGTACAGCGCGTCTTTAATCGTCATCTGTAAACATACCAAGCTCCACCAACACTTGTTTTTCCTGGACTTAGCATCTCAGGACTCTTGCTGTCTATGGAGGATGAGGGAGCACTCACATTTCAACTGGAACATCTTCGTTCATCTTTAGAATAACAAATGAAGCTGAGACTTGTAAGTAAACGTAATTCAATACTACTCGCCTCTGAGCTTCGTTCATCTTTAGAATAACAAGTGAAGATGTTTTAGTTGAAATGTGAGAGCTCCCTCATCCTCCATATACAGTCCTGAGATGCTAAGTCCAGGAAAAACACGTGTTGTCGGAGTATGGTATGATTACAGTTGACAACTGAAGACACATGGAGTGTTTTGATGAGTGTTTTTAGACTTCTTGTGACCCTTTCTGTCTATGGATGACGAGAGAGCTCAATCTAAAATACCTTCATTTGAGTTCTGAGGACTGAAACAACACGAGGAAGAGAGAGAATCTAATAAAAGAATCTTCATTTTTGATGAACTACTACTTTAAATTAACATTAAACTCAACATAGACACACATAACAGAGTAACCGCAGTAGAAGTGACCGATTATGGAATGTTTATTTCACAAACCTCATAAATACCACCAAAACTTGCACATACTCAGTCCTTTAAACTGGTTCTGTTGAAGGAAAACTCCACTGTTTTTGGAAATATGCTCAGTTTAAGCTCCCCTAACTGTTAAACATGTGAGTTCTACCATCTTTGAATCTATTCAGCTGGCCTCAGCGTCTGGCGAGAGCACTTTTAGCTTAGCTTAGCATAATTAATTGAATCAGATTAGACCATTAGCAACTTGCTCAAAATATGGCTTTAGCAGTGCAATGATATTAACCTAGTTAACTAGGTAGCTGTTCCTTGATGCTTACGCCAGAATGACAGTATAAAGTTCCTAAAACTATTAGCCTAGAAAATAGCAACTCTTCATTTTCGGTCAGTCTTAATACAGATGTAACTACAGAAGAGTCGAGCTCTAATTAGAATAATGATCCAAACTCTGGTCATTTTTAGGGTGAAATGCTGATAGTCTAATTTGATTCAGTGATTTATGCTAAGCTAAGCTACAAGTGCTTATTTTTTAGCAATCAATTCGGAAAATCTCTGGCAGCACCTTTAGCTTAGCTTAGCATAATTTATTGAATCGGATTAGACCATTAGCATGTTGCTCAATAAATGGCTGCAGCATGCACAATGATATTATGCAGAGGCTGAAAGTAGTCCCCAGTGTGTACTAGTAACATGCTAACGGTCTAATCCTATTCAATGATTTATGCTAAGCTAAGCTAAGCATAGATCGGCTGACTGCATTTGGAATAGGGCACACTCATTTAAGTGTAGGAGAGCTGCAAAATGAGTAATTTCCAAAACAAGGTGGAGTGTTTCTTTAAACATAATATGGTTTGACACTGTGACCAAGCGGCTGTTCCTGTTCTGTCTTTGATGGTGTAAGAATGAATACAGACATTTAAATAATATTTCCTGACCTACACTATAACTGAGGATGGTTTAGTCTTGATAAAGCTGTGGATGTTTAGTGCTTCTGAACAGCTCTTCAGACTAAAGCGGACTGATCGTCTGCTGGGAACAGGAGAGCTGTAGTGGACAGGCGTGCTCTGCAGGTCATGTCAAGCGTCCAGGTTATTTCTCAGTGGAGAAGGCCCTCTTCATGAGCGGTGGAGGGGTTTTTCCAGCCTCATAGATGGAGTCGGGTGGAGGAGAGCTCAGACAGCACCAGTCCGGGATGCGGCCCGTATGGTTGTAGTAATCTCTGGACACCGAGCGGCTGCCTAAAATGTCCTGCAATGCTCCAAATATCGCTCCTGCATGAGGAAAACACAAGACAGCCTTCAGTAGGAGAAAGCAGGAATATAGAGCACTTAAAGAGTGAGAGAAAACAAGTCAACTGGAGCACTGACATGCGGCTTTGTTAGTCGATCAAATAAAAATGTTGACCATGTTATAGTTATTTAAAGTCTTTGTGAAATTACAATACGTTTTCACATGTAGAAGATATAAACATCTGAAGTTCGCAGGTCGTCTCTTCCGCCTAAGTTGATTTTTTGCCGTCTCCTCATATTTCAGTCTCTCATCAAATCTTCTGACCAATCAAATGCTCTCTAGTGTCTGACATGCCCCGCCCCCAAGTCTTCATTTGCTTTACATTTGATGCATTTGAGCTCAAAACAATACGCTATTGGTTGTTTTTAAAAAGGGGAGGAGGCACTACATGTCCCGCCCCCTTTTTCATGTCTCAGCTGGGATTACGTCAAACATCCAATGTAAGTGCACATTTGACAGCAGTTCAGGGCAGCTTTAACCCTGATCGAGCGCTCTATTAGTAATGTAAAGCATCATCATCCTCACCTCCGAGCCAGGCGGTGCAGTTGGGTTTGGCGGGTGGGCTGTGGATGCGGAAGCTTTTGGTGGCCAGAGCGTCTCTGTATTTGGGTTTCTCCACCAGTGAGCGGATCTCAGCCAGCAGGCGGTGCAGGAACCCCGGCAGCATCGCCGTACCCCCGATTATCAGCAAGTTCTCTGACAGAACCTTTCGAGTGTCGATGGGGCACTGAAACACAGAAATACACATTTATTTATATTTAATACCACATAAGCAGCAGCACTGGATACGTTCATGACAACACAAGAGCCAAGTCTTCACCAGTGTCGAGGACAGATACATCTAAAAGTAATGCATTACTGTATTGAGTTACTCCCCCTAAATAAATTGCTGCTTTAATAAGTCACTTTTTATGATATTACATTACTTTTGAGCTACTTTTTCTTCCCTGGCTGAGGCTTGTACATACACTCACCGGCCACTTTATTAGGCACACCTTACTAGTACCGGGTCGGGCCCTTTTGCCTTCAGAACTGCCCTAATCCTTCAGGGCAGAGATTCAACAAGCGACTGGAAATATTCCTCAGAGATTTTGCTCCATATTGTCATGATAGCATCACACAGTTGCTGCAGATTTGTCGGCTGCACATCCATGATGCCAATCTCCCGTTCCACCACATCCCAAAGCTGCTCTATTGGATTGAGCTCTGGTGACTGTGGAGGCCATTTGAGTACAGTGAACTCATCGTCATGTTCAAGAAACCAGTCTGAGATGATTGAGCTTTATGACATGGTGCATTATCCTGCTGGAAGTAGCCATCAGAAGATGGAGACACTGTGCTCATAAAGGGATGGACATGGTACTGTTGCCTTTCTATCAGCTGGAACCAGTCTGGCCATTCTCCTCTGACCTCTGGCCTCATCAACAAGGCATTTGCCCCCACAGAACTGCCGCTCACTGGATATTTCCTCTGTCGGAGCATTCTCTGTAAACCCTAGAGATGGTTGTGCGTGAAAATCCCAGTAGATCAGCAGTTTCTGAAATACTCAGAGCAGCCCGTCTGGCAGCAACAACCATGCCACGTTCAAAGTCACTTAAATCCCCTTTCTTCCCCATTCTGAAAACTGTTTGCAGTGAGTGTGTGTGATGCGTTTTCACCTTCACCAGTGTGTCCAGCAGCAGTGTGGCGATGGACTTCTCCTCATTATCCTGCTCAAACAGCATCTCAGCCACAGAGTCTCTGTAATACAGTGAGAATCAGCCAGAGAGTGGGTCTGATTATAGACAAACACAGTGGAGACAGCGCGCGTCTCAGTGATGGCAGTGTAAAGGTCTGCACCTGATGAAGCCCTTCACATGCAGGATCTTCTGTCCATCCAGAGGATAATCCACATCTGGGGGAGGAGCTGGCCTCTGGAGGACCAATCACAGCACAGCGTCAACACACACAACCAATACTAGTTCCGCCCACAGCATTATTGTTCAATATTAGCAAACACTGTGACTAGCATATATTATTATTAGAAATATACCACTAGCAAATATTAAATACGGTCACTTACAAATATTAGCAAACATTATTAATACTGTCACATACTATTATTAAATACTGTCACCAGCAAATACTATTAGATGCCGTCACTCACAGACATGATTAACTGATGGTACCATTGTATTTTGATAGTGTTTAATAGTACTTAATAGTGACAATATTTAATAATATTTCTTTTAAAATACTGTGACTAGCAAATACCATTTATTATGGTCCCTAGCAAATATCACTGAATGCTGTCGTTAGTAAACACTGACACTAACATATATTATTAAAATACTCCCATTAACAAATACTATAATGATATTGGCTACTGACGGTATTTAAACTACTGTCACCAGCAAGTACTATTAAACACTGTCACTAATACATACTATTAAATGCCAAATAGCGTCGCTAGACATTATTATTAAACAATGTCACAAGCAAATATAGTTTTTAAATAAATAAATATGCAAATCAGCATCTCTGAGTGTGTTTTCTGACCTCCGCATCTGTGTTAAATTTGGCCTCCTGGATCTTCAAGCCTCTCTGCAGGTCACTGACAAAACACGTGCGCACTGACACACAGACACACACACACACAAGCACGCACACACACACGCACACACGCACGCACGCACGCACACACACACAGGTAAAGTCAACAAGAGTGTGTACAGCTCAGTTGAGTTGACAGACGAGGCGTCTCCTCTCCACATGACGCACCTTTAATATCTTCCACCACATCCTCTGGAATATGACCTGTGAAACACACAACAGACCAAACCTATATTAGACTGGGCTGTGTGTGATCGCTTCATAGTTGCTAGGTTACAATGGGTGGTTGCTAGGCTGCTGATTGTGTAATATGGGTGGTTTCTAGGATACTTTGGTTTGTTGCTAGGGTACTAGGTGGTAGGTGGTTGATATGCAGTTGCTAGGGTATTTTAGGTGGTTGCTAACATAAACCAGGGTGGTTTTATGGGCCCTTTCTATTACCCTTTCTAGGGAGTTGCTAGGGTAATCTGGGTGGTTGCTAGGCAGTTGTTAAGTGTTTTGCTTATGCATTCTAGGTGTTTTCTACAATACTCTGGTTTTGTGCTAAGATAAACTGGGTGGTTGCTAGGATAATCTATGTGGTTGCTATACAGTTGCTAAAGTATTCTATTTGGTTGCTAAGATAAACCTGGCTGGTTCTATGGTCTTTCTATTCAGTTGCTAGGGTGTTGCTAGGGTATTGCTAGGGTATTATGGGTGGTTTATATGGTACTCTGGTTTGTTGCTAGGGGACTGACGGTGGTTGGTATGCAGTTGCTATGGTATTCTAGGTGGTTACTAAGGTAAATCTGGGTGGTCCTAGGGTTTTTCTAAGCAGTTGCTTAGGTAATCTGGGTGGTTGCTAGGCAGATGTGAAAGTATTGCAATGGTTATCTCTGTGGTTTCTAGGATACTCTGGTTTTGTGTTAAAGTAAACTGGGTGGTTGCTAGAATGTTGCTAGGATAATCTTTGTGGTTGCTATGCAGTTGCTGGAGTATTCTAGGTGGTTGCTAAGATAAACCTGGGTGGTTCTAGGGTCTTTCTAGTCAGTCGCTAACTAGTTGTTGAGGTGTTGCTAAGGTATTCTAGGTGGTTTTATATGGTACTCCAGTTTGTTGCTAGGGTACTGTAGGCGGTTGCTATGCAGTTGCTAGGGTATTCTAGATGGTTCTTAAGATAAACCTAGGTGGTTCTAGGGTCTTTATAGTCAGTTGCTAGGTAGTTCTTAGGGTGTTGCTAAGGTATTGTAGGTGGTTTATATGGTACTCCAGTTTGTTGCTAGGGTACTGTAGGCGGTTGCTATGCAGTTGCTAGGGTATTCTAGGTGGTTGCTAAGATAAACCTGAAGGTTCTCTAGAGTCTTTGTAGTCAGTTGCTAGGTCGCTGTTAAAGTGTTGCTAGGTGGTTTATATGGTACTCTGGTTTGTTGCTAGTTTACTGTAGGTGGTTGATATGCAGTTGCTATGGTATTCTAGGTGGTTGCTAAGGTAAACTTGGGTGGTCCTAGGGTCTTGATAGTCAGTTATTAGGGTATTCTAGGTGTACTGTAGCTGGTTGGTATGCAGTTGCTAAGATAAACCTGGGTGGTTTTAGGGTCTATCTAGGTAGTTGCTAAAATAATCAGGGTGGTTTCTAGGCAGTTGTTAATGT